TGGGAATAAAACTTTGGTAGGTAAAATTTGTTATATCACCTTTTTCATAGCTCTTCTTTCATTTTCATTGAATGCAATGTATATACAATCTGACACAAAGCTGTTCCCTGCATAATATTATAATATCAAATACACAATAACGACAAAGTTACTGCAATAAGTATATTAAACAATGTATCTTCCTTCTCTCCAGCTCAGGTGTTTGGGTGGACAATCAATTGCACTGTCCAGTATATGTTTTGATTTGATTACAACTGGCAAAGAGACTTGTCTCCTCTTTTCTTTTTAGGTTTTGAACTGAAGGCAGCATTGTTTAATTATTTAGTTTCTAACATATAGGGAAGAAAACTTTTCACCGCGAAATAAATTCAGGTCAAATAGTAAAATGTCATATTTTCATGGTGAACTCTCTCATTTGCTACACGATTTTACTTTACATGCAGAAAAGATGACAATGGTCAACTTCCTCCGGCTGTAAATGCAGAAACAGGTAAGAAGGAGGTTTTAGTGTAGGTTATTAAAAAAGTTAATGATTAATAATAACAACATAAGGATGAGTTAGGGCTTGTAATGCACAAATTACCATATGCATATGATCAAATGTGCACCACATAATCCAAATGCTCATGAACAAAAACATGTCAATTAAGATTAGGTAAACCAAAATCAACTATTATATTGAAATACACATTGGTTGTTTGTGGATGAGGTGTGGTAATCTTTTGTTTGGTGAATGGGTTTGGTGCATATTTCACCTTCCAGTTTGTAGACTTTGTGTAGACATGGATGATAGCACTGGCATGGGTAGGTGCCACTTCAGGTGTTGGAAGGAGTTTGGATTTCGGGTGTTGAATTTTGTGGCACCAGATGCTGCATGTCATGTAGTGGGTTTCAAGTTATTTAGTGCATGTTATGTAGTAAGTCTTTTTGGTCCATTGTCTCTCTCTATGTCTCTGTCTGGTCTGTGTTTGTCTGGAGTATTTGATAAAATTTTGGGAATGTGCCCAATAAAGAAACACAAGCCTAAAAGTGGGAATGATGATTTCTTAATCTGCATGGCAACCTCTCTTTACTGTCCCTTTGAAAAGGAATGATAGGTGCAACAGTGACTAATTGTGAACATGTACCTTTAAAAGGTTTTGGAAGTCAAAAGTCAACATTTTATAGTACGCTGTTTACAAGTAAATAACAATGTGAAAAGTAATACAACATTTAATTGGGAAAAAGTAAAAATTGAACTAATTTACAAGAAAACATATTTTAATGGTGTACTATGCAGACTGAAATAGCCTACAAGCTTAGAGTTGGTCACCATCACATGGTCATATCTATTGTTGATGGCTTTCTATTATTGATAGAAGAGTTAAATAGTAGCTTTAAAAATATTATTTTAAAATAAGTTATAACCATAAATGGAAAAGTTGAGGTTGCCACATGTAGCTTTTTGTGATATAGCTTGTCGCTGGTTGGAGGGATTTGTAGATAAGAATGGCTGGCTGCAATGTTTTTTCAAAAAATGGTCTGGTTTGTCATGTTGTTGACATGTGGTTTTGTGTGACTTAGGTACAACAGTATTGCACACCTGTTATAATATTAAGATGCCTTTTAAATCCTATGTATTGTTTGTCTTATGAGAATGTAAAACAGGGTATTTAAAATAATGATAACAATCACAATATTTTAGCAGGGAGCCCACTTCACCAAAAGGTGAAGTGGGCTCAGTGTGGCCCTGAAATGGAAATATAGCTGCCGTAAAAATGACCAGAAAAGTATATTTCCTTATTCGTTAAACATACATGTATCATGCATCATCTTTTTAATGAGAAAAGAAAAGGTATGCATGTTTGATATATATTTTCAAATTGCAGTGTACATTAAAGCTTGTGTATACATATATGTTACTTGTACAATAGAGAATCGTCTTACAACAAATAAAATATCTATTTTAGACCCAACGTGTTTTGGCTACTGCCTTCATCAGGAGCTTTATCTTTGATGTATATTTTCAAATTGATATATACTTTTAAAGGGTGTATATATATATATGTATTTTGCAAAAAAGAGAATCATCTTACAGCAAGTGAAATCTTTATTTTACATCCAACGTGTTTCGGCCACTGTCTTCATCAGGGCTCTTTTCATTGATTTTGATTAAACAATAATGATAATTACCTTGAAGTCATACATGTAAAGTGTTTCATTTCTTAATTATATCTCAATAAGAGAGTCATACCAGGTAATATTGTTCCAATAGATTAATTATAATCTTAGAGGTATAGAGCTGGTTAACCTTTATAACTAAATGTTTTAAAACAATTATTGTATAGAATATACTATAAAGGTATATCGAATTCTGACTTCTAGCCCATTCTCTTACTTAGGCTGTCAGGCTGTAATGTGTGAAGTCGACTTTGCCAAAATGTTTCTCTTGCTTGAAGTAATTCTTTATTTCCTTTCAACTGCTATGCCACTCCGTTTAATTTGTTCAATGCTTGTAAATGTAACAGTGTTCCCATAGTTATGGTGAAAATATTCTGTGAGTTTGCAGCTACTAACTCCTCTCTTAATATCGTCTCTCAGATTATTAAGATGCGGGTTTAAAGCTGTCTCGCTTTTTCCTGCGTATTGCAGTCTACAAATCCTATACTCACATATATATAGATATATATATATATTGAGATAGGTGTGACGGTGTGTTAGGACATTAATATACCAAAGGTTCCAAACCTCGATATTTTATTACAATAAATAACGGATGAAGGTTATGACAAAAACCATGGATATGGATCGGAGATTCGAAATCTGTAAAGTAATGCGTTAACAAATTAGTTTCAGTTCATATCGATAATATCAAAAGAAATCAAGATAAATATTTACCCATTGGTTCTAGGTGTCCATAACACTGTCTAGCGATAGAAAATCTTAACAATTATATCGGTTACGTCATCAAATCATAATGCGCAAAGAAATTAGAATTTTGCGCAATGCAATAGGGAAAAAACAAAGAGACTATACTTTCAACCCTACAAGCCTATTTCGTGATTACTCACTCATCAGGAGATTTTATTGTCAAGAATGCTCGTAACCATCGTTTATATACTTTACAAATTTACAAAATAGGCGTGGTGGTAAATTTAAATGCTTTGTTGAATTGTTACGCAGTAACGCTTTGTTTATGTGGCGGCATGAGGACACGAGTACATCACGTTTATTAAGTGATGATAATTCTGGTCGGCAGATGATGAGTAATTTTTCTTTGAGGCAGAGGTTGCATCTTTTGCTTGTGCCGTTGTAGGGTGTTCTTAATGAAAGG